CGAATCCAAGATTTTCAAATTCAGTACCATGATCACTTCTAACACTAGTGATAGAGTAACCTTTTTCGTTTTGGATTACTTTTGAAAATGTGATGAAATTTTCTAATGCTTCATCTTTAGTACTTAAGAATATAACCCAAGTATATCTAGAATAGTCATCTACCAAGACAAATGCATATTGTTTTCCACCCAAGCTAGTAGTCCTAGTTGGCCCAAAAAGATCTATATGGATCAATTGTAATACTCTACTAGTTGACACATCATTAATGGATTTAAAAGAAACTCTCTTTTGTTTTCCTTTAGCACAAGCATCACAGATTTTATCATTATCAAATTTTAGTTTAGGCAACCCTCGAACCAATTCTCCTTAAACTAACCGTTGCAAAACACTCATGCTAGCATGTCCTAGTCTCCTATGCCATAACCAACTATCATGCTCATCCTTAGCAACTAGACATAAATTAGTCATTTCTATAGTCTAAATGCATCATTTATATGTTTCCTATTCTATGACCAACAAGCATAATCCTATTAGATGCAATGTCAATGACTTTACAACCATTAGTTTCAAATATGACATTGAATCCCTTATCACATAATTAACTAATACTCAAGAGATTATGCTTTAATCCATTCACATATAACATATTTTTAATTTGTATGGAAGAGGTATTACCTATTGTACCTATACCTTCAATGTGACCTTTTGAATCATCCCCAAAAGTCACTTCTCCTCCATTTTTGGCATTAAGCTCTATGAAACGATTTTTGTCCCCGGTCATGTGTCTCGAGCATCCACTATCAAGGTACCATGAATTTGGATTTGTTTCTCGTGTCTTGTAGCAATGCTCATTTTCCTACAAACATAGATTAATTTCTAATTTTTGGTACCCAAATTCTTTTGGGTCCATATTCATTAGTTTCTAAAATCCTTATCCCCTTTGGTATCCATTTATAAAGGACATCCTTATCTTTAGTAGTAATGAATTCTTTAGGAACCCATATACTCCTAACAATTTTACCATTCAAGGTTCGTTGAGGACTTCTATGATTGTAGCTTCTAAAACTTTTCTTAACAAAGTTGGATTTTGAATTCTCACATTTTTCAAAACTTTTTGTTCCAACCTTATTAAACAAAGTTTTAAGATCATCAATCTTCTTTTGATGATCATCATGAACTTTTGAAAGTAAGTTATGCAAATCAGTATTTTTCTTTTCAAAATCATTAATTTTGATTTGCAATTCTTTGATCTTACTTTCAAGCTCATTTTTGGTCTTGGATATAAGACTATTTTCGTTTTTCAATTTTGAAATATCATTTTTGTATTTTGAAAATAGATTCTTATAATCCTAAGCCAACCCATTATAATCCTCTAATAACTCATCATAAGATAATTCATCCAAATCGAATGAGTTAGAGGTTACCTTAGAATCTTCCCTGATAGCCATCAAGCACAAGTTTGCAACTTCTTGTTCCTCTTCATCGGAACCTTCTTCATCGCTCCATGTAGCTACATGAGCCTTTTGCTTCTTTTTGGATTGACCCTTTTTCTTCAATTGTGGGCAATCATATTTGACATACCCCCGGCTTTTTGCATTCGTAACAAATAATCGGGTCTTTCTCCTTCGATTCAGTTTTGAAGCCTTCATGACGTTTGAATTTTCTTCCTCGGTTGGGCATCATCAACTTTCTGAATCGTTTGGTAAATAATTTCATTTCCTCATCATCGTCATCTTCATTCGAATCACTCTCATCTTTTGTGGATTTGAGAGCAACTCTAATGTTTTTCTTCTTATTCTTCTCCTTTGGTGTCTCGTCAATCTTATCGAGGTCCACCTTATCTTCAAGCATCATTTCATGAGTGAGGAGGGAACCGATTAGTTCTTCAAGAGTTAAGGACGTTAGGTCCTTAGACTCGATGATTGCCGTTTTCTTTGATTACCATGATTTTGGAAGGGAGTAAACTAACTTCGTCACAAGCTTTTCATTTGAAATGATCTCTCCATATGATTTGAGACCATTGACAATCGTTGTGAATCTATCCGTCATAGCTTTGATATCTTCATTTGGTTTCATCCTGAAATTTTCATAGCTATGCGTTAGAATACTAATTTTAGATTTCTTTACCTCATCGGTAACTTTATGAGTGACTTGAAGTTTGTCCCATATTTCTTTGGCGGTTGTACAAGATGAAACTCTTCCGTATTCATCTGGTCCAAGAGCACAAAATATGATATGGATGGCTTTGGAGTTGAGCTGGAACATTTTTGTCTCTCCTTCACTCCACAATCTTGGATGAGTGAGAGGCTTGATGTATCATTCTTCTACGACATTCCATGCTCCATGTCACTTGCTTGAATGAAGTACATCATCCTATTTTTCCAATAAGCATAGTTAGCCCCATTGAAGAAAGGAGGCTTGTTGACAGGCATTGAATCGAGACCGGAGTCGAAGTTTGAAGTAGAGGCCATTGATGACTTTGATTATCGATGTAACTCTTCCTGAATCGACTCAAGAGGTGATTAAACCTTCAAATGAGTTAGGCTCTGATGCCAATTGTTGAGTTAATCGATTGACGGAATCGGCCAAGAGGGGGTGAATTGGCAATTAAAATTTTGTGGAAGCTTTTGTAGAAAATTGAAAGTAGCACAACGATTTAGAGTGGTTCGACTTTATAAACCAAAGTCTACGTCCACTACCTTAGCTATCCACACTAAGGATTTTCCAAAAAATTCACTAATTTGTTCTTTCTTTTGAGGCCAAAGAGATAACCTTACAACTCCCTCAAGCATATACCCCAATTCTTGAGAGCACTCTTTTCTCAAAGAGAAGATTACACATTTGCAAACTTACAAGAAAAACCTCACAAGGAAAATATGTTTGCACAATTCTAGAACAAAGAAGAACACTCAAGAATAAATACAACTGAGCACAATAAGTGTTCTTGAAAGCAAAATGAATATTGAATGAAAAATAGGCTTGAAATGCTCAAACTTGAGGTTTGATGTTTTCTCTTTGATTCTCTCTTGATTCTAGTTGCTTGATGTTTCTTGTTCTTGATCAATGGCTTCTAAGCTTGTTTAAATACACCTTGAATCACTTCTGAACGTTGGGGATCATTAATGAAGTTATTGGAGCCGTTTAAGTGTGAAAAAAATTAATATTTTTGCTTGGAGCGTGGGGGGAATCGGTACCCTCTCATGGGGAATCGGTTCCCTAAGTATAAAATTCAATATTCGACCGTTGAACAGTGGGGGAATCGATACCCCTGGGGGGAATCGGTTCCCTCCGAGCATACTGGAATTTCTCGAGCCAAACCATTAAGAGGGAATCGGTTCCCTCTAGACAAACTGTAATTTTTGGCTTTGAAACGGTTCAAAATACTTTGTAAAATTGTTTTGAAATTATTTTAATATTAAAACTTAATTTTACACTTTAGTAAGGATTTAAAATAAACTTTGAAATACTTTGAGTAGTATTTTGATATTCGATTAATATATCGAATATGCTTAGAAAAATCTTTTTCAAAATTAAAATTCTTTTAATTTAATTTGTTATATCGAAACATCAAAATGTTTTCAACATATTTGTTTGCCAACTTCTACTAAAATTCTATATATAGTTTATTCGTGTTTGATATTCCGATGAAATGATTAGTTCTTTTGTCGCTGATTGAAAAATAATATTATAAGTAGGTTAGCAAAATTTAATTTCTCAAAAATATGTTTTCTATATATAGTTTATTCGTGTTCGATATTCCGATGAAATGATTAGTTCTAATATTAATGTAAGTTTGTGTTAAATACTATACTTTTTTTTATAATATAAGTTATGAAATTTTTTTAATAAATAATTATAATAGGTTAATCTGTAACCAAAATATTAATAATAGTTAAATATCTTTTAATAATTAAGTTACTGTAAAAAAAATCTCATAATTATTATAACAAAACGATTATCTATTTGTTTAAACTAAACTTTACGGTTAACTATCCATAAACAACCATACTTTTCATAAGCGTGAGCCTATTAAATGATTGGGTTGTTAATGTAAAAGGAAATGAAATGTGACATTGATAATGTGGAGAGTTGCACATCTGGCATGGGTTCCACCAAGGGCAGGCTAAACCAAGCCTTTAGGAATACGTCAAATATAACATATCTGGCATGACAGTGTGACTCACAGGCCTAACTTTTAATTTTCGGGTCTAAATATATCAAACGTCCTTATATTATTAGAAAATTTTAAATCTAATCTTCATATCTTTTTTATAAATTTAGTATTTATATTGTTTTTTATTTGAAAAAGTTTAGTTTCTCCCATCTTATGTTCAATTTAACCGTTAACTATTTATTTGCAATATAAAAAAGATAAAACAACTTTTTATTCTTTTATCTTTATTAATCTACTAATTCAAATTGAATACTACAGAGATTTATTACGACAAGAGGGTTACTCTCCTAATTAAATTTGTTATATTCATGACGTGAATATTTAAATTCATCATATTACTTAAGGAAATCAATTTGTTAATTATATTAATGGTTACATTTTATTTTGGCGGGGTTTTTTTTTTCCAAAAAAGAAAAATAATTTCATTGGGTATCAGAAAAAGTCATCAAGAACATGCATGAGGGGATGCCGACAAGACACAGTAGCAAGAATAATGGGTGTTTGACATTAGTAAATGTTGGAGAGTTGATTATATGATTTGGCTGATGACATTGTCATGTTGACGTTTAATTGCGTACTAATGTAAAATTTTAACAAATAAAAGATACAAAAATATATGATCTGTGTGGTAAGATGAACACAGCGGCATGAATCCCGTGGTTGCTTGTTAACGCATTAGTTGACTATTGTTTTTCTCTTCCATTTGGCATTTTCCCTAAGCTTTTCCCCAGTTGTTTTCCTTGGATGATTTATGGGCAGCAACACATTGTATTTATATTGCACCAAATTCACTCTATATATATTATAATTCCAAAATCATTTATATTTACATGGAGACAAATGTGTGTGTGTGTGTATATATATATATTAAATTGATTTTTCTTTTGGGTTTTCTTTTTCAATTTCTTTCCCTCAAAGAACCTGCAGTAGAGATGGAATCAACTGGTGAAACTGAGAAAGAGTGACATTCATATTCAAGATCCTCGAATCCCCACAATTCTTCTTGCCCTTCTTCTTCTGGCATTTTCCATTTCTCTTTATCCGTTTCCCCCTCCATAAGCACCCCCAAAACCTATTATTTTACATGAAAAAGTAATTGTATATCAAATAAATAATTTAGTCAATGTCAAGATTTGCTTTACTGGTTCATGACAGGAAAAAAGGAAAATGTATCAGCAATGGCATGTGTTAGTATTTCCTTTTTCCGGAGGATCACGATATGTCGTCGGTCTCGTAGAAGGTTAAACCATAAATATCAGAGACATCGGATTTAGGTTAGGTAGAACCGAACATCTTTAGAACAGTGCAGCCAAGAATCACCAAATTTAAGTTTTCATGTTGCATAGCTCACTGTTGAAAAGGATGTTCAAAATGATTTACAGGCAAACCTCCAAAAATTTAAGAAGATGACGGCTGACATTTATCATATAATATTCACACAAGCTGTGTTTTTTAAGATACCGGGAAAAGACCCTAATTATAATCTAATGATCCTTCGAAAAAACTTGGTCTGCCCCTTGAAAATTGCATCATCCCATGATAAAAAATGTGTGTAAGTAATCAAATTGCTGGTAAAATATTACCTCGGTCATGGTTGGACGCCAGGCCGACGATGTTCGAATGCAAAGCGATGCGGTGAACATAAGTCGCTTAAGCTGAGAGCTGTCGAAGGAGCCTCTGAGCCTCGGATCTACCAATTTATCCATCTCTTCTCGGTTCAACAGAGGTTTTGCCTATGGAGTTCAAAAGGGTAAGCAACTAAGCAAGGGCATGGCAATAATATCACGTTTATGGTTATAGAAAAAGGAACTGCAATTGCAGCATTACCCAGCAGTGCAAGCTTTGGTGCGAGGCGTCGACTGGTTTCCTCCCCGATATGATCTCTAACAAGCAAACCCCGAATGCGAACACATCTGTTTTCTCATCCACGGTTCCGTGCATGAAGTACTCGGGTGCTAAATGACTAAAAATTATCGAATGGGTAATATGATTCCTGTCTAAAGACTAGATAAATAAAAAGAGTTGTTCATTGTTGAATTAGCATACCCGAATGTCCCTTCAATTGGAGCAATGGAATGGTGTGTCCATTGAGAAGGAAGCCATTTCGCCAGTCCGAAATCCGATATCTAAAACGTGGATTTCAAAACGAATTAACCATCGAACTCGAAGATCGAAAAACGAACCGGAAAAAGCGGAGCATGGTCCGATAATTTGGTACCTGGGGTTCGAAATCTGCAGTCAATAGAATATTGGATGACTTGATATCGCGGTGAATTATCCTTCTTTGGCACACTTTGTGCAAGTAATGGAGTCCTTTTGCAGTACCAATCGCTATCTTATACCTTGTTTTCCAGTCCATTGGCGGCGAATTCGCATCTGCGTCGACAAAAGCTCGAATGAAACGCAGAAAAAGATAAACAATTCAACCTCGAAATAAACAGATATTACCATGGAGACGAGAAGCAACGGAGCCTAAAGACGAGAACCGGAAGATGAGAAAAAGGCCATTGTCGATGCAACAGCCTATAAGTCTCAACACATTTGGGTGACAAACATGGCCGATAGTGCCGATTTCCGTCAAGAAATCCTTCTCTTTCCTTTCGTCACTGTAAGTTTTCGTTAGCCTCTTCACCGCAATCTCTTCCCCATTGTTGAGCACTCCTCTGTATACCTCTGCGTACCCTCCTTTTCCGACCAAATTCTCTGCTTTCCACGCAGACATGAAATCAAATGGAAGATCGACAAAAACAAATTGAACCCAAAGAAACAAGTTCGAAGACAGACCTGAGCTGAAACCATTGGTGGCGACAAAAATCTCTTCAAAAGAAAAACACTTCCAAGAAGGTCTCTGAGCAGCCGAAGAAATCAAGACACCATCTTTGTCTTCTTCCTCGAAAACCCCACGGCTGTTATCGACGGCGCCTTCTTCGAAACTGCGCCTCTTCAACGAGAACAAGCGTTTCAAGCTATTAGCTCGGATATACTTCATCGGGGAACTCTCTGTTTCATGCAGGGACCGAGAGAGATTGCGTTGGAAAAAGGCGAAAAGACAGAAAATCTCAAAAGCAGTTCAACTATACACTTTATTTCTGTTTAAAATGATTGAGGAAAACATATATCACGAGTTAAAGGAAGAAATAGGGAAGGAGAGTCAAAGATGGGATTTTTTTTGAGTGGTTAAAGAACAGTGGAAGGGGTGTGTAGTGGGGAAGCATTTTTGTTACTGATTAATGGCTTATTTATGAAAAGTGGTGCTTATTTATGTTTAATACAATGAAATTTGTTAGAGGTTTAATAATTAGTAGTATTTATTTTTTTCTTATGTTTTTAATGTCTTCTATGTATATTAAATACAATTCTATCATAATCGGGTACATTAAATTCAAGTATTTGCTTTATTCTCATATATATGATGCTTACTAAATTAAGATGACTATCCTAAAAAAGACTTAGGTTTAATAATAATTTATTTAAAATTATGTTTTAAAATATATTCGACGTCATATTTGAATTGATAGTTAATGTTTAAATTGATAATTAAACTAATGAATTATTGCAATTATGATACATTAAAGATACAATACAAATTTAAACTATCCTTCACCATGTTCCTTTTTTTCAATGGTGGCTGCTAAATAAATATTCCTTCCTTTAGTGCACAAAGAGTACATGTGAATCCTCCATAAACAGTACCTTCCTTAATCTATTCTCTTAACTTTTAGAACATTAATGTTTCATATAATTGGTTGACTAATCAATTAATAATTTCACTTCATTTTGAAAAAGAACACAAAAAGAAAAACTGGGAAAGAAAAACATGGTGCAATTTCTGTAAGAATAACATGGGACAACAACGAGGGGTTGGGTTGCCGCTCTTGTGGGGTCGTTACCTGAGGTCAAGGGTCTAATCGGATGAACCGAGTGTGGTCTCATTTTCCATCCACAGTCTTTTGACCTTTTATCTTTATTTTTCCTTTATCGAAAGCTGGGTGATTGAAAATATTTGGGTGATTTTATAGTGCGACAATTTAATATAAGATTAAAAAATGGCTACCTTCAAATAGAAATTATAATATTTTAGATTAGAAGTAAAATAAAATATTGTAATTTTCGAAAATGTTGAGAATAAAATAATATTGTTAGAGGTATAACAATCCGAGATGAAAATAAAACATAAAATCAAATACTTTATAGATCACAATTTGCTTTCATGGTGATTTATATGAGTTGCGGCAAACGAAATTCGATTCCTCGGTAGGATCTCGTCGTAAAATTTATGTACGTAAATCAAGAATAAAACAAGCACAATTAATAACCTGAAAAATATTTGATTAAATGATCAGAATAGAAAACCATAAATATATGAATAGAAATAAGTTGAGGTATGAAATTATGTAATTTTCTTAAGACAGATTTTCGGCCACTTCTTGGTGCTCGAGATTTTTTATCGTCTGTCTCCTCAAATACAACAACGAGATGATCAACGCACAGTAACACAACTGTCGAGATCAAGAACTATTCTTTGTCTTAGCCTATCACCAAAAACTAGATAAAAGAATTCATTTGAATTAGTTTTTAATTTGTTTTGAAATGTGTTTGACCTAGTAGGTTAACACGGTATTTATAGGGAGTTCACATTGTAAACAATTGAAAATTTTGACCTAATGAAACACTAATGAGAATCAAGCAATTAAGTAATTTTCAAAATTAATGTTTTGATTAAAGGAACCTTTTAATATTTATCCTTTTAATTCCAAAACAAATTTTGAAAATATATTCTCTATTTGAGGAAAATATCTCACATTTGGGTTAAAATATCCGCAAACCCACAAAGAGGTAGATCGGTTCAGATAATCACGTTATCCACATCATACATGTCTGTACATTTACGAACCAACAATTGATTCCACATTTTCCTCAACAACGTTTTGATCAATTTCTCATTTAAAACTCTAAAATTATTGAATTTTTCCAACAAATATTTTAGATTGCATCCAAACTAAAACTAAAATATTATAACTTTTATTATATTTTTTTCTCAAACTCATTTTTAACCTTATATTGGATAGTCCTTTCTTTTCCAAAATTTCAACTTTTGCTCAAACTTAAAAGCTTTGGTCCTTTTTACCCAAATATTCTCGTTAAAAAACTAATACATACAATATCTTCCATTTTAGATTTTTTTCACATTTGTAAAGTTTGTCATAAAAGGGGAAATTCTGTTGTGTGGTGATTAAAAAATGGTTAAAAAAAACGTAATTAGTTAAATAAATGACCGGTTAAAATCTATATCGTAAATATTATATTATTTAACTAGAAATATAAAATAAGCGCTACATATTATATTAAAATACCTACCGATTTTTTTGAAAGTTGCTAATAATGTAAACGGTAAAAAAAATATGTGTTACCTATTACATTAAACTACCTACAGATTTTTTTAAGTTTACTAATAATGTAAACGGTAAAAAAAAATAGGCACTACCTATTATATTAAACTACCTATCGGTTTGTTTAAAGATTACTAATAATGTAAACGGTAAAATAAAATAAGCGCTACATTTACATTAAAATACTTACCGATTTTTTAAGGTTGCTAATAATGTAAACGGTAAAAAAAAATAGGCGCTACCTATTACATTAAAATACATACCGATTTTTTTTAAGGTTGCTAATAATGTAAAATGTAAAAAAAAAAATAGGTGCTACCTATTACATTAAAATACCTACCAGTTTTTTGAAGGTTGTTAATAATGTAAACGGTAAAAAAAAATAGGTACTACCTATTACATTAAATTACCTACCGGATATGTTGGAAGTATCGATCCTATTTAAATAAGTATCGACATTTTTGGAATTTAAAAGAAAAGCAGTAATAGCGCCCATAAAATATTGATACTTTATAAAAATGTATCGATACATAACAATATAACAGGTAAAAATATGACAAAACCAATTTCATTATGACAAACCGGTAAAGAGCTACAGGATATGTTGAAAGTATCAATATTTTTTGTACATGTATCGATACTTTATTGAAAGTTATGTAATTTATGTTTCAAAAAATTTTAATAGTGCTTCATGTTTTCCACATATAATATTAATTTAATAATTTTATTTACACAAAAAATTATTTGATTGTTTAGATATTTTATAAAATATTATTTAGAATTTAAATTTAACAATTTTAACCAAAGATAATAGTAAATATGTAATATCTATGTTTATTATTTTTAATTTAATAATAATATATACCGTAACATAAAAATAAATCATTAGACGCATATAATTACTAAATTAATATCTTAAAACTCACTCAAAAGATAATCCTAAATTAATATTTTCTACAGTGAAATAAGTATGGACACTTATATATATGTATTAATACTTACTGATAACCAAAGTTTGTCGGTTACCAAATTTTTTAATATTTTTTCATGTTTTCTACCTACAACATTATGAGTTTGTCAACATAATTGGTAGTGTTTTACCGAATTATTAATTATCTTATTAAATTTTCGATCACATCATTTTTTAATCGTATATTAATCTGTCTTTTTTAAGACAGCCCGTCATATAAGACGAAAACACATCGCATCAAATGCGTATATATATAATTTTATTTAGTAAGAAAATTTATTATATAATATTCTCAGTAATAGAGGCACATTAAGTTAAACGTAAATAATTATTTTCTCCCTTATGTAATTTTCATTGGTTACTTTATCATTTAATGCATGAAAAATTAATAAAAAGTTTTCTTTTTTTATTTTAAAATTAACTACATATTTACACGAAATAACTTACCTCAGTGGTTAAGAGGATTGTTGTCGTTCTTAGAGGTCACATGTTCGAGCTCCAACGACTACATTAAGGTAGTTAAGCGTTTATTGTCAAATGATTGAGAGTATTTAAAACATATACTACTTTGTAATCACATCTTAATTTAATAAAAAAAATTACTACATCCTCCAACTTTTAATTAAAAAAAATATTATGTTCAAGCGTACATAAATCAATGACCTCTTAATAATAATAAGGGTAAAGTATATTAATGGTCACTAAAATTTTCTAAAACTTTCATTTAGATTTCTCAACTTTTAAAACTTACAATATAGTCCTCTAACATTTAGTCTGTTTGCAATATGGTCACCGCCGTTACACTACCGTTAGTACGTTTTCAATATAGTCACCGAACTTTTCAGGCGCTTGCATTTAGGTCCTCCAACTTTTAAAACTTGCAACATAATCTTCAATTTTAATCTAAACCCCAAATTCCTTTTCAATCGTAAATTTCCTTTTTTGTTTCTCTCTTCTCATTTTCATCGTAACTTTTCATTCGGGGATGCATGTGAAATTCTAATCTAACTTTGAATTATGTGGAGGTGTTGACTTGAATAAGGGTCCATTGAGAAAAAAAACCGACCAAGGGACTATCAGGACCATCAACGATTCAAGGTGTAATGTTAGATAAGGTCATCTTAGGTGAAGCATAGATGTTCGATGAAATGCTTATGAGAAAAAAATGGGGTTAGAAATACAGAGTTTACAAATACTACTAAGATGAACTAAGTATTCTGAAATTATTTTTGTATAAATGGCTAATAATAATTTCTTCGTTTGATCATTGTGGTTAAAGATTTTCCAACAGATGATCAAATTTAATGAAATCCTAAACAGCGCATTTACCTCTCAGTCTCTTTCGCTCACATGCACTATTGTTTGGTTTTTGTTCTTCACTTTTCCGCCATGTAAAATTGTAAACCCAAGCAGTGGTCTGTCTTTCAGCTTTTCATTTACAAAAAAAAAATGGATGAAGAATTGCTAGAACGCAACGCTAATTGCGTTTATTTCTTAGCCTCTCCCCTCACTTGTAAGAATGTATTTATTTTCTCTTTTAGGCTATTCGGAAGTAAGTTTTTCCTCTATTGCACTTTTCCATTTTCAGCTCACATTGTGTGTTTTTTGTTGAAATTTTTATGTTTCTGGAACTACATGTCAATGATTTGGATATTCCGTGTTATTTTTGAACCAAAACCATCTAATTTTATTTCTTTCTTCTTAATCAAAACTTTGAGTACTCCTTATGAAAGATATTCAGTCCA